GTATCTCTTCTTGACTTGGTTGAATTAGACTGTCTTTTCCTCTCCTGACTTTTTTTGTGTTTTGCTTTGAAAGTCTGTTTTACATGGTACCCCTCCCATTGTTTACATGTGTGTGGGCAGAAGAGCCAGACTATGGGGTGGCTGCTGTCAGACAGGGTAATAGAAAATAAATCTTTGCTTACCTATTCATCTGGGAGAGCTAATGAGTCTTTTCTCTGTGCTGGCCCTCCTTGGTATTTCAGATATGGGCTAAGGAACCAGAATAAAATCTTGATGAGACCTACAGGGGCATGATTATTGCCTTAAAATGGAGTGACCACTCAAGTCAGGTTGCAATGTATCTGTAAAATACAAGAGTTAAATAAGAATGTGGATTACTTTCCTGTGTAACAGACTTTAACTTTCCTCCTTTTTTCTCATTCAGCAATAGGGTAAGACAGCATCAATTTTCAGTCCTCTTCCTGTAAGCCTTCAGAAAAAGGGTTAAAAGTTGAGTGAGATCCTCACATACTCTGCAGCCCCTTTAACAAGGCAGAAGCACTCAAGGACAATGCCAGTAGTGCTGGGGCAGGACCCAAAAGTTTTTCACCTTTCCCAAAACAGTTTGTCATGGACCAACATGAAACATCTTGCAAACCATGGCTCTCAACAAGGATGTTTTGGGAATGTAGGCAGGGAGGTCGAGAAAGGATCTGTGGAAAGTTGGTTTTGTAGCTCTGTGGTCTGAGCAGCCATGGGTGGCTGAGTCATGGTTGGACAGGAAGTTACACTTCTCTGAGGCTTGGGCTGAAATGCAAGATATTTTCACCTGTCTCAAGATAGACAACATCTTTTTCTGGTCACCATTGGTCTGGAACTATTTTAAACAAAAGCAGGAAAAAATCCATTCCTAGAATGACTGTTCACATGGAGACCTCTGTTTATAAAGGCTAAACAAATTAGCTACAATGGCATAAATATTTTCCTTAATTTCAGAAATCGCTTCCTTTGTGTCAGATACCTTCCCTTGCCACTTTATCAGGAATCACAAGGATTCTCCATCTGGACAGGCACAAAGCTGAGCTGTAGAATTTGATGGCTTTGTCCCTACTGTTACACAACCTTGGAGAGTAAATTTTCTTCTCAAACTGAGAATTCAATTTATTCAATCACTCACTAGTAAGATAAGCAAAGGATGGGAAACTGAAAGCTTTTTAACATGCTTATTCTGCATACACTAAACAAAAAGATAAAGGCAATGCAGAAGAGAGGTAGGTTCCCCATGAACATCATATCAGACTCTCTGCCTTCTCATATGTGACAAAACTCTTTTTTTAATAAACCAGCTACTATAGTTCAGAGCCTCTGCCAAGTGTTTACAGCATTGCCCTAAGTAACAAGTCTGAGCCAAGGGACTTAATTAAATCTAACCTGCTTTTTCAGTTATAGAATAGTCCTTTAACATCAAAAGGCAAGTGGACTTTGTTAATAAAATCTGAAATCACTTTTTGTTTAAGAGAAGTTCTTTACTCCTCACTGCATACAATCAGTTACTTCTTAGCAGGCATATAGTATTTTCACAGATAATTTCCACAAGCCTTTACAGAGTTTACAACAACTAACATAAGATTTGGTGTTCTAGCTTTATACGAGAATTTCAGATTTCATACTTTCTTGTTGAGCTGATTCACAAATCCTAGGTTGCAGGGAAGAACTTAAAAACTTTAAGAAAAATGCTTATACAGGATGCCCTGTTGATATTACAATTTTTAAATGTTGTTACAGCTTTAGAGGCTTACCTTTCTACTTTGGAGCACTTGGCTCTGCATATATGGCAATGTTTTTTATAATTATCTCAAAGGAGGTTCTACATAGGAGGGCTTGTGCTAACCACAAAGCTGATTTGGGAAAGGTGCTGGAAGTGAAATCTGAAAGTCTTATATGGATAAATGCAGGTGACATGGCTGCTGCCTCCCTGCACACCTGCTAAGTGAAACTGGATCAGGCTTTCCATCCACAGCAGCTCATGGCCCATGGTGTTCACATAAGATGAGGTTGATGCAGCTTGTATTGATGTGCTGGGCTGAAACTGGAGTGATCAGGCCTGGCAGACAGGCTGAACCCCAGGCTGAGGTGCTGCCTGACTCGCTGGCAGGGGCAGGGCAGGCTGCTGTGTGATGGCTTTGCCTCCACTGGCACAGGAGGAGCTGGCAGCCCCAGCCTGTGCTGCTGCCTGACCACACCAACCTCTGCTACTGCACAGGGCAACACAGAGCAGGTGTTTTCCCAGCTAAGAATGGTTTAATGACTTTCTCCTCTCTCTAAGCGGAAGTTTTAACTTCCCTGTGTTCACAGTGTTAATCATTTACATCTTAAACCCAGCCTGACTCTGAGACCCAGACTGAGCAGGGCAAGTGCAGCCACCTGGCAGGCCTGGAGATGTCAGTGATGTGGCTGCACCCTAAACCACCGTGAGAGTGGAGGTGGGCGGCTCTTGCAGGAGGACAAGGAGGAGGCTGAAGGCAGTAATTAGCTCTAGGGACATCTGCAAGAACAGTGAATCACAGCTGTAACATCACAGGTCAGCTGGGGCTGGCACAGAGGAGTTACAGCAGAAAGAGTGTGGCCAGCAGGAGCAGGGCAGTGACTGTCCTCCTGTACCTGGCACTGGGGCAGCTGCACCTTGAATCCTTTTCAGTTTGGGGACTTCATTGCAAGGAAGACATTGAGGCAATTGTGGAGCTGGAGCACTTCCAGACACGGGCAAAGAAGGTGGTGACAGGTATGAAGCACAGGTCTTGTGCTTCAGAGGAGCTGCTGAGAGAGCTGGGAGGGTTAGCCTGGAGAAAAGGAGGCTCAGGAAGGACCTCATTGCTCTCTACAACCACCTGAAAGCCAGGGGAGGGTTATTCTCTTCTCACAAGTAACAGCTGGCAGGACAAGAGGAAATAGTCCCAGGTTGTGCCAGGGGAGGTTTAGATTGGATATTAGGAAAAAGTTTTTCACTGCAAGAGTTTTCAAGCATTGGAAAAGGCTGCCCAAATGGTGGAATCTCCATCTCTGGAGGTATTTAACAGACTTGTAGATGTGCTACTTAGGGACATGTCTTGGTGGTGGCCTGACAGTATTAGTTTCACAGCTGAGCTTGATGATGTTAAAGGTCTTTTCCATCCCAAACAATTCCAAATCTGTGAGTCTATGATTCTGCAGCTGAAGGTTGCAGGTTGGTTTCCTTCTCCTCATTAATTTGTGGTGTGCTGACCATAGCAAATGGCCACTCAGAGGTCTCGCAAGCAGGCCAGTGCAGAATGGAAAGGACTATTTAGAGAGCTCATGGCACCCCAACTCCAGGAGGATGCTCACGCACAATGGGACAAAGCCTCAGCTGTCCCCATCTGGCTCTGGGAGTAATCCTGCTTTGAGCTGCAGCGTGGGTGAGGGATCTCCAAGCACCTCTGGCAGACAGTATTTCCACTGATGCTGTGAAGTCATTCACCTGTTTTTCCCACAGCCACACTTGCTCAGTTTCCAGCTCCACCTCTAAATGTGATACTGATGCATTCAGCCCACTTGGATAATGCCTGGAAAAAAAAAACAGGTCCTCCCAGTGTAAAATGAAGGCAAAGCCTGGCATTGTGATTTGAGCAAATCTATTTGAGTTCAGACACTTTTTCTTTTCCACAAGCTGTTTTTTCTGCTCCTTACATTCAGGCTTATAAACTCTTTGTTATGGCATTCATGTGTCCTTAGACCTGTGCAAAACTTTCCAGTCTTGATATGTAAACAGCTGAAGACTGCCTCAGACTCTTGGAGACTGCATTTTGGGAGAGCTGACTGCTGCATGTTCCAGTGGTGATGAATCCTTAGGAGATGCTTAAGGGATGACTTTGCTTTCTCACCATCTCCATCTGATTTTGAGCCATAATGGCAAAATCACCAGAGCAGGCTGTGGGAAGAGCGATGCATTCCTGAGCTGGGTGAAACAACTGGTTGTGTGGAGTGTTTGCTTGGGATCACATAAACACTTCAGACTTGAAAGAACCACAATTTCTAGATCCCGTTTGTTTATATTTAACTTTGTAGATTTCGCTTACATGTTTTGCTAGTCTAACTCTTGATGCTATACTAGTCTGACTGGATCACGCCAAAATTTGCTGTTTACCTGCACGAAGGTACAAATAGTGGTATATTGCAATGAAATGCTTTGTATGCAAATGAAATGCTCAAGCTGTTCATCAGGTTTGTAGAGAACAAATCTCAGTGACACCAAAGGGCCTTGGTAACAATTACTGTCCTAGGTGGATGAAAAACGGTGTACGTGAAGACAGTCAATGTGAGAATTCACCTCAAAGGAAATTTGAGAGCCTGAACAGACTACCAAGAGCAAGCTAAATCCGAATGCAACTGTGTTTTTAATGTGTAGTGGCACTGATTTCATGCCCTCGAGTAAAACCCCTCTGCTGCTCATACTTTTGTTCTTCCACTGCTGCCGTGGGTGCATGACACTTATTTTGGGGACAGCGCTCCTTCTGTCCCCAGGTACGGCAGGAGGGCTCGGCGTTGCCGGCGGCCCCCTTGTCTCGGCAATAAACGCGTTTTTATGGGGCGGGCTGCGGCGGGACGGGCGGGGGTCCCGGCCTGCGCCCGAGGGAGCGGCCGGAGCGGGGCCGGGCCGGGCTGAGGGCAGGGAGGGCGGGAAGGGGCGGCTCAGGGCAGGGAGGGCAGCGAACGAGAGGAAGGGGCGGCTGAGGGCAGGCAGGGCAGGGAGGGCAAGAAGGGGCGGCTGAGGGCAGGGAGGGCAGGAAGGGGCGGTGGGCACGTCGCTGCCCATGGCAGGGGGTCGGCCGGACCCCCGCCCGCTCGGCCCCGCCGCCCCCGGCCGGGCGGGCAGAGGGAGGGAGGCGGTGGCACTGGAGGGAGGAGGAGGGATGGAGGGAGGGACGCGGGGCGGGGCGCAGCCGGCGCGGAGAGGGGCCGCCCCCCCGCCCGCTCCGCTCTGCTCCGCTCCGCGCCCGCCGTCGGTGCCGGTGAAGGCGGCGGTGGCGGTGCCGCCGGCTCCCGCCGCCCCCCTGGCCCCGGCCCCGCGCCCCTATGGCCGGGCAGGAGTGGGACTGGTTCCAGCGCGAGGAGCTCATCGGGCACATCAGCGACATCCGAGTGCAGAACCTCCAAGGTAAACCAACACCCCCGCAGAAACCCCTCCCTCCTCCCCCGCCCGCCCCGCTCCGGCCCCGGCTGCTCCCCCGCCGCTCCTTCCTCCCCTGCCGCTGCCCCCGGGCCGCCGGCGCGGGCTCCCGCAGCTCCGCGGAGCGGGGGCGGTGCGGGTGAGGGTGCCGGGCCGGGGGAGGAGGGCGGGCGGCGGGGCCAAAGTTTCCCCCGAACGCGGCTCCTGCCCGTCCGGCCGCGGAGATCCCGGCGCTGGGACAGGAGCGGCGCCGGGGCAGGGATGGGGACGGGGTGCGGGGGCTCCGGTGCCGGGGATGCTGCGGGGGCGGCACTGTCGTGTCTCCCGGGCGCTGCTGCCGCCCACAGCCTCCCCCGAGAGCCGTCGGGGCGGGGGTGCGGGCTCCGGCCGGGCTCGGGGGAGATCTGGGGGCTCCGGGGCTCACTGTGCCGTGGGGTCCCCGCGGGCGCCCCAGCTGCGGGCACAGCCCGCCCGCCGCTCCCCTGCCACACCTGGGGTCACCCGGCCGCGATTCGAAACGAAGCCGCTATCAGAGGACTCAATGTATCTTCTAATATGCTACTGTTGAATAAACATGGACAGAGCTTTTGGATAAATCATCTGCGAGATGCTCTCCTGTTCTGCCACATGCTGTGCCGGCGGAAGGGATGCAAACACCTGGCTCTGCATGTATATCGGTGTCAATGTAGCCGAAGTAGTAGTTCCTCCCAAGTTATGTTTGCCCCTCACCAGGTAACTCCTCGTGACTGGAAAGGACAGCAAGACTCGATGGAAGAGGAAAAAACCAGCAGTGGTTTATGGGAGAACAACTTGTTCAGTGTAACATACTGATCTTAATCAATAGCTCACATAATACTGCGATGTATCTTCATGTTCCATAAAAATAATAGACTTGAATCAGAGGTCGTTATCTCTTCCTGTCTGTGCATAATTATATTAAGGCACTGTCTACTGGCAGAGCAGTAGACTTGCTGGAAATTAGTTTTGGTTTGGATTGATTATAGAAGATGTATAATTTATCAGAAAAGAGAGTCAAATTAGCTGTTCTTTCAGCTCTGGTATATTAATGCAGTTAGCTACTGATGGGGTCACTCCACATCATTTGGACCTGCATCATCCTGCCCTCTGAAATTCAGATTTTGAGCACAGTCAGGGCCGTTGATTCCAGGTTGCATTCCCCTTGGGTTTTGAGAGTCTCTCATTACATTGTAGCTCAATGTTCCTGGCTTCTCTCTCAGTCTCTTTCTATTCTCTGTGTTAACATGGCTGGCCTGCCTCTGATCTCTTGCTGCTCAAAACTGTAGTCATTAAGCCAAGTTTAATCCTTAATTCATGGGCAGTTTTGGGAAGGAATACAAAAGTAATCTGTTCCTAGAAAGAGTAGTATGTTTTTGGCTTTGCCTCCCATTTGTGAGAGAATAGTTAATTTCTCTTTCTGGAATTTAAAGTGCAGATGCACACAGTACAAATGCACACAGCCCCATCTAAAATTCCTGTAGTTGTGTAGGAGAATGTCATCCTACAGAGCAAATTCCTTTGAATGACATTATGTTCATGAAAAAAATCTCCTGTTCTCTTCCTATGATCCAAGAGAAATTTTGAAACATATATGGATTATCACCTTGCTTGCACTGCTAAATAGGTTTTTAAGAAGTTTCATGCCTCATGTGAGCTCTTATAGGGCAGAAAAAGCATTTGTTCTAAGGTGCTGCTCCAAAGCAAGTGATAATAGCTGTCACAAAAGATATGATTTGTAACACATAGTTCTCACATTATCTTCTAGAGATGAAAAACATTTTACAGATGGAGAGTCTGATACTCGTGAGAGTGTGATTTTTGTCGCTTGGGAGCTTGGTGGCAGAGCATGGTGCTTCTCTTCAGAACAGTTTCTTGTAAAATAGCAGCATATGCTCTATGCTCATATGTGGTAATTAAACTTTCTTCTGCTTTATAATTCAAAAATCACTCTCCCCTCTCAAAACAATGCCATCTGAATAAGTGCTAGTATCATTGTCTATCAGTTGTAGAATCAATAACAGCTTTGATTTGCTACAAAGTCAAGAGTTTGGGATGAAAAACTAGGTGAGGACAACAGAGCATTTCCATCAGCACCATCAGACCCCCCAGGGCCTGCTGCCCAGAGCCTCATGAAGGACCTGTGCAGTGGAGGTCCCCATCTGCTGCTGCATCTCCAGCTCCTGCAGCACTCTCTTGTAACTCCAGCTGTGTTTGGAGTGTCAAGGGGATGGTTTGCCTGATTCCAGAATGCTCCCATTCACTGGGACATTTTGCATATGTGGAGGTCCCTCCTGGTCTCTGGGGGACCCACCATGTTTATTCAGACCCAAGAAGGAGTAAGGAGGGGATGGGAGGCAGCAGCTCAATATTTGCAGATCTGAAGAACACGTGCAAACACTGGCATGTGTGCATGCAGGGTGGAGGTTTCTGGGCTGATGCACAGAGCCAGAGAGGTGTGAGGTGTGCAAGGCAGGCAGAGGCAGTGCAGCCACGCTGTGTCTGAGCCATCCTGCCCAGCTTGGAAGTGCTGGAAGAGCCCAAGAGCTGATGGCTCAAAGGGTCTCAGGCAGCCTAGCTGATATTAAGGTTTCTGCAGGAATCACACAGACATCTGCTGTAGTAGTTCTCCACACCCCTTCTGGCTCTGATTTAAAAAGTGAAAATTGTTTATTTCTCTTGCAAATTTCTTCATTATGTCTTAGCTGAGCTATTGAGCACTGCTGACATGAATTCTATTTGAAGATAGCATATGTTGTTTCAGTCTGTTGCATCTTCCCTCTCTAGTTTGGTTGTTCCACACCCAGGAAGAATCCAAGATGTCAGTTACTGGCAAGTGTCTGCTCTCATGAAGATGCTGTTGCAGTGGTATGATCCCACCAAATTGAGATGTTGTAGGTGCATGTGCTGGCTGCAGAAGTAGCTTCAGGAGCTATATGTTCTGTCATGTGTGAAATTATGGCCGCTGTGCGTTTTTCAGCTCTTTCATAGGGAAACTAAAACTGACAGCAAGGGGCAAAATTTACTAAATGGGCAGGACATGGGGGTGGAAAAAAAGAATGAGTTTAAAAGTGGAATTACATCTTGATATTTAGGCATGTAATGATGGGCTTCTATTTTCCCTTCCCATGAAGAGATTTTCTATTTTATTTTTTAAAAGTAGGAAATGACATTTCAAAACTGTGTCAGTTAAGTAATGCTAAAAGCCAGGCACAATTCTTCCATTCTCAACAGAGGTGATTTCAGAGAACAGAAGCAGAAGTGACAATTTAATGGAGACGGGAGAGAGGAATATAAAGAAGGAATAAACACTAGGTGTGGTGATGCACAAACCAAGTTCCTCCCTCCCATTGTGCTCGGTTTATAAATGCATTTAATAAACTGATACCCTCGTGCTCTTTGTTCTGATTGTATATTCTCCATAGTGAATTTCTCCACATACTGAGAGAGAAAAATGGAAAGCCTGCACAGAATGTAGGAGCGCTTTGTCAAGCAGGGGAATGCTCAATAATTAATTTCCTGCCAGGAGATGGTTTTTTTCCTCTTTCTTTCTTCCATTGCAACACCATTGGGAACATTTCGTTACAATACAAGAATCTTTTAAAATCTTCCCTACTGGAAGCTTGATTTAGGACCATCAAAAATATACTTCCTTGTGTGGGGAATTGCACTTGCTAGAAAGAAGCAACATCCTCATCCTCATTTAAATGATATGTTGGTTGTGTGCTTTGCAATAGTCTAAATGTGTGTTGAGCAGTACATATCTTGCCTTACATTCCTTGGAATGAAATATATAGAGATGAATAATTGTGCAGTCAGATGTATCATCTCTGGCAAACAAATGCTGCTACCAAACCTTTAAAATAATTATGGTTTGAATGTTCATTTTGTATATTTCTAATAGAGTCAATGGGCTGGGATGGTAAAACTCTGCATTTCTGCTTTCAGAGGACAAGTCAAGGTCCTGCTGCTTGTTATTTCACTACTCACTCAGAGTTTGATCCAGAACTCACAGAAACCTGTACATGTTTGTTTCCGCAGATTTAAATATTTTCTTCAGTCTCATTCTTGCTCTGCTGAGGGGTACATGGCCTTCAGAAGTATTTGGAGGGCTACACAGGAGTGTATTGTAGCATTGACCGAAATAATGGAGAAAAAGAAGGGTGACAGACTGGAATAAATAACCTGAACAATATCAGCCCCATTGGTTCCCCATCCTTGCTGTAGTTTATATCTCTGGGTGGATCACTCAGGCATAGAGTCCCAGCACTCTGATTTTACTTGGCTTCCTGTTTGGATCCTTGAGATCTGGACTTCATAAGCTTTGGACAGTAATAGTAACTATAATTGTCACTAACATGAATCTCAGCATCTTATGAGGTAACAGATTCTGAAGCCTCTGTCTCAGGAAGTCGTACAAATGCCTAACTCACACAAGTTAACTCTGGAAGTGAGAATATCTAGATATCTTTACTTTGTGGGGGCTTAAGCATCACTGATGGATGACCAAAGGCAGGTGCTATAGTCAGTCTTGAAAATGTTTCTCTCTGTACTTTTCTTTTTATTTATGTTTGAGGTCTGTTTTTAATGACTTTTGCACTTAGCTACAGAGAGTAATAATTTTCCTTTAATTACAAGATACAGCAGCATTTAACTTGTTTGCTGAAGTTTTACATGCTTTTCAAATACATGGAAATTTCACAAGTAGAAGGAAACCTTTTTAATCTATCCATTCATTCTGACAAAAGTAAGGTGCTGTAGCTATTCATTACTTTAACTCTTCTATAACTTGTCACCATACTCAGCAAGATTTCATTCTGCCTGGAGGCATATTCATTTAGTGGAGATCTTTGTAGATTCAAGTGACATTTGGAAAGATTAAATTGTCTAGAGAACCTTAGGCAAAGCACTGTACAACTACAAAGTGATCCCATTCTATATAAAATTTAAGTTAAATAGGCCTGAGAATTATA